ATTGGCAAAATTTAGCAGTCTTTGCAAACTTCAAAAAGCAAATGGCCTAGATCTTGGTTCCACTTGCCTCTTACCCGTGACTTCAGTGGAAATTTCAGATTCAGGATCTGACACAGACTGATTCTTACAAGTTCATAGAAATTTCTGTTCAATTTGAACCAAGTATTTGAGTTGATGGTTGTAATTTTTATACAGTTGTTGTGATTTGTATTTTAACAATTTTTTTGATTCATTTTCCCATTACAATATTATACATTAAAGTATAATATTGTAACGGAAACAAAACATAAAAAAATTGCTTTCTTTTTTATTCGGGCTACTAAATTTATTTTGGGCTACCAAAAACTGAAGAATGCCTGCCCGAATGGCTACCAGAGATTTTGAAATTTTGCGAGCCTTGTCAAGACAGTAAAAAAAATATCCAGTCCTTACCAGGTACTAAAATGATTTAAATAAACATTAAATGAACAAAACACATAGCATATTATACTGTTTCATTATTTATTTACCAAAAACTGAGCCAAAATGCAGAAGCAGTTTGTGGACAAACTAAGTACACCCAATGATTCAGTATCTTGTAGAACCACTTTTATTTGCCATAACTTGAAGTAACTATTATCTTATTGGTCTCTCACATTATTGTGGAGGATTTTTTTTTACCTAATTTTCTTTACAATATTGCTTCAGTGCTCTAAAGTTTGTAGGTATTTGTTTATGCAGCTTTTCAATTAGGTTCAAGACTTAGACAGGGAACTTCAGCACCTTGATTAGTTTCTTTTTTCAGCCACTTTGTTACAGATTTGCTGATGTGTTTGGGGTCATTCTCCTGGTTCATGACTCACTTTTGGCCAAGCTAGCTGTTGGACAGATAAATCTGACTCTAGAATACTTTTGTATACAGGAGTTAGTGGTTGACTAAATGACTACAAGGTGCCTAAGTCACCTAAACCATTACCCTTCCACTAGTGTGCTAAATATTTGTCAAAAGTTGTTTGTGTTGAGATGGTGTGTCTAAAGGACATTGTTCCCTAACAATTTCACCTGGCAACCCATGCAACTTTTCAAACTTTAGCTGTGTTGTCATGTTCTTTTTAGATACAAAAGGCTTTGTGTCACGATCTGAGGAGACAGACCGTGCGGTGGTGTGTGTGGTGGACCCAGGTGCGAACACAAGAGAGCAGGTTTCAAACAAAGCAGAAATACTGTGACTAAACTGAACTTAAACTAAACTGGAAGCAGATACTGATAAGCTATGAAGACTTAGGCTACGTTCACACTGCAGGCGAAAGCGCATCAAATCCGATTTTTTTGACCCTATGCGA